AAAAGCCAGTTCAAGGACCTCCCTGGTGGTGCAGTGGTTAAGACTCCGCCTGCCAATGCAGGGGACAAGGGTTCGATCACTGGTCTGGGAAGATCCCACATGCTGTGGAGCAACTAAGCCCGTGCGCCACAACTGCTGAGCCTGCACTCTGGAGCCCGCGAGCCACAGCTACTGGGCCTGCGTGCCTAGAGCCCGTGCTCCACAACAAGAGAAGCCACCGCAATGAGAAGCCCGCACACCGCAACGAAGAGTAGCCCCTGCTCGCCGCAACTAGAGAACGCCTGTGCACAGCAACAAAGACCCAATACAGCCGAAAGGAAGGAAGAGAGGGAGGGAGGAGGGAAGGAAAGAAGGAAGGAAAGAAAGCCAGTTCATTTCAAAGCCAGGAGAGTGGGAGTTTTGGCACACTTTTATTCTTTTTTGTTTTTTTTTAATTTATTTTTGGCTGCGTTGGGTCTTCGTTGCTGCTCGCTGGCTTCCTCTAGTTTTGGCGAGTGGGGGCTACTCTGTTGTGGTACGTGGGCTTCTCATTGTGGTGGCTTCTCTTGCTGCGGAGCACGGGCTCTAGGCGCGTGGGCTTCAGTAGTTGTGTCCCATGGGCTCAGTAGTTGTGTCACGCAGGCTTTAGAGCGTAGGCTCAGTAGTTGTGGCACATGGGCTTAGTTGCTTTGTGGCATGTGGGATCTTCCCGGACCAGGGCTCAAACCCATGTCCCCTGCACTGGCAGGCAGATTCTTAACCACTGTGCCACCAGGGAAGCCCACGCTTTTATTCTTAATCACCCAACGACCTACTGTGTCTGAACAGTAGCCATGTCTCCAGTGAATTCCCTCTGTGGTCCTGATGGAATGGCCTTAGAACTAGTAGGGGAAAAAGTCACTTGTAATTCTCAGGACCCCAAGCTCTGACCAATGGGTATTGAATCAGAAATTAAAGGAAAATAGAAATACAGGACCAAGACCCTATTTTCAGGGACATCTAAGCAAAACAGTATGAAATCAGTGAAAATGTATTGGGTGCCTACCAGTAAATGCAAAATCTTACATTAGAAGCTGTGTAGTATATAAAAATACAAGTGTCAAAATTGTTGATATAAGTGAAAATTTCTTTAGTAGGCTACAGATGGCCAAGATGTGTGTAGGCTTCTAAGGTTTCTCAGGGAAGCATGCTAAGGTTTCAGATGGAGAGGCTTCTATAGGAGGCAATGAAAAGTCCCCTTGTGTGGAATAGGGTCTCAGAGGTGAGATAATATTGGATAGCTGGGGATGGGGCAAGGGGAGGTTGTGACTGGATGTGAATACCAGTTTACACTGAGGTGAAAACGTAAGAGTAGCCTTTTGGTAGCTTAGTTAACTAAACCTCTTTGGAGAGTGTCCACAGCAAACTTATTTTTTTTAATATATTTCCCGTAGTAAAAATAGGATAATTAGAGTAGAAGCCTTAGGCGGTAGGAAGAAGCCTTCATGCCTCATGGTAAACGTTTGAGCAGGGGAGAGATACGATAAAATGGGTACATTTGTAATCTTAGTTTGGCATGAATCATTTGGTAGACTGGAAGAGACAGTGTCTGGGGCGAGGTTTAAAAGAGTGAGATATGATGGGAGTTGGATGAGGTAGCAAAGAGTAAGTGACGAATGGAATAAATATTTTGAGAGAAGAAATTAGAGGACAAAAGGAGGTTAGAAGCGTGGAGCTAGTTAAAAAAGTTAAAACTGATGATCTACAAAATGAATAGTTCATAATCAGGTAATTAAAAGTTTGCTGCAAAACAATTTGCTGCAAAACTATAGGGTAATTTTTTAACTGGGACAAATCCTTTCCTCACCTTCTTCAATAATAAGGCAGATGCTAACTGTTTAGCTTATATTTTGTGAAGATAGCCTGAAACAACAATATTGGAACTACTGGTTATTTTCAAAAACAAACTGCTGATTACTAGAACATTCTTCTAAGATTTCATTATGATGTATTTTCAGGATAAGGATAGTTCAAGAAGGGCTCTAACCAAGTGAGAGAGTGGCATGGACATATATACACTACCAAATGTAAAACTGAGCTAGTGGGAAGCAGCCGCATAGCACAGGGAGATCAGCTCGGTGCTTTGTGACCACCTAGAGGGGTGGGATAGGGAGGGTGGGAGGGAGGGAGACGCACGAGGGAAGAGATATGGGAACATATGTATATGTATAACTGATTCACTTTGTTATAAAGCAGAAACTAACACACCATTGTAAAGCAATTATACTCCAATAAAGATGTTTAAAAAAAAAAAAAAGGGCTCTGGAGAAAATAAATGAACAGTTTGTTGTCCACACCCTGCACTTCCAGCCCATTCCTGAAGATTTCTTTCTCTGTTCGATTTTTGATATTGAATATAATTTAGTGTGAGAAATTAGATCCATCTATTCAAAGGACTATAGTGACCATGAGTATATTCTTCATCATTTATAAATGAATCCAGTGGTACAGACTATTGCTGGTAGTAGCATTTCTCTAACTTTTTGATCTTAGGATGCCTTTACATTCTTAGAAGTTTTTGAGACCCTAAAGAGCACTTGCTTGTGTGAGTCTATTGATATTTACCATATTAACTGTTAAAGCTGAGAAATTTTTTAAATTATCAATTTATTTCTAAAAACTCATATTAGCATTAATAACATAAGTAACAGTTTATGAAAAATAACTAGTTTCCTAAACAAAAACAATTTAGTGAGAAGAGTAACATTGGTTTGCATTTTTTGCAGATGTCTTTAATATTTGGTTTAATAGAGGAAATCCAGATTCTTCTACTTGAATCTATATTCAGTTTGCCACGTTACATTGTTTTGACTGAAGTATATGAAGAAAATATGATAGTTTTGACCTCACAGACCCTCTGAAAGGATCTTAGGGATCCACCCCCAGGGTTCAGCAGACCACATTTTGAAAACCATGGGTTTACAGGAATGTTCACTATATTGTCACTAAATTGTCAAAAAGTGTTCATGCACTTAAAACTCTAGGTTTATATTCCCTTGAATTTGGTAGCTATTTAAGATGATGAGTTGCACTATTAGTTATACCAGTATCCTGCTGAGGTGATAACCGAGGTCATTATCTTTGCTTCTCTTCTCTTTCTTCAGGTGACCTAGTGGTTCTCGATGGCACTCCCACTGCTGGCTGGCTGCAGGGCCGGAGCTGCTGGGGTGCCCGGGGCTTCTTCCCATCCTCATGTGTTAGGGAGCTCTGCCTCTCCTCACAGAGTCGGCAGTGGCACTCACAGAGTGCCCTTCTCCAGATTCCCGACTATTCAATGGGACAGGCCCGGGCACTGATGGGGCTCTCTGCCCAGCTGGATGAGGAGCTGGACTTCAGAGAAGGGGATGTGATTACCATTATTGGAGTTCCTGAACCAGGCTGGTTTGAAGGGGAGTTAGAGGGTCGAAGAGGCATTTTTCCGGAAGGTTTTGTAGAGCTTTTGGGGCCCCTGAGGACTGTGGATGAGTCAGTAAGTTCCGGAAATTGCGATGACTGCATTACTAACGGTGAAGTAGATACCAACACAGGAGGAGAGAGACAGCCAGAAGGGGAAGGTGAGCAGCCAGGCACCTACGGGCTTGCCCTCTACAGATTCCAAGCCCTGGAGCCAAATGAGTTGGATTTCGAAGTAGGCGATAAAATCCGAATCCTGGGGACCCTGGAAGATGGCTGGCTAGAAGGATCACTGAAGGGCAGGACAGGCATCTTTCCTTACCGCTTTGTAAAGTTATGTCCTCAAACAAGGGTGGAGGAAACCATGGATCTGCCACAGGAAAGCAGCCTCACCAACATCCCTGACACATCTTTGGATTGTTCAGAGAACTTCTTAGAAGTGGAAGGAAAAAAACATGAATCTCATGAGTATAAAGCAGAGAAGTCCAACTCAGTTATTTCTGAAACATCCACTTCCCCACTGGAGCATCTGACTTCTGAGTATGAAGAAGACAAAAACTCTCACTGGGACGTGGGCACCTCAGAAGGGCCCCCAAGAAGCACAGGTTCACGGCACGAACAGCTTCTTGCCAAATACTCTTCCACAAAGGATCCTTCAGAGGTGGTCAATGGCGTTGCGTCCCAAACTCCAGTACCTTTTCATCCCGAATTGCAGAAAAACCAGTATTATTCTCTAGGAGGAGGAAGCAACCCCCACCCCAACCAGTACTCTGACCCTCTTCCTCTAGAAGCAAGGACTAGAGACTACTCCAGCCTACCTCCCAGAAGAACATACTCGCAGCCGAAAACCCTTCAGAAGCCAGTGCCACCTCTTCATAGCACCTTTTCCCGTTTAGCCTCCAGGGCAGTCAGACCCAGCCAGTTGAGCCCTCAGCTCCAGGGCATGGCGAGGTGTGTGAAAAAGCACCTCACACCCAAAGAAAATGCTTCCAGCTTTTGCTCTGCATCAGAGAGATCAGAGATGAAGCCTGGTCTCCAAGACAAGGCACCTGCTGTGGAAGCAATGGCACTTTCACAGGGAGACGGCAACACGGACCTGGATTCTAAGTTGACACAACAACTGATAGAGTTTGAGAAGAGCTTGTCAGGGCCCGGCACAGAACCAGATAAAATTTTGCGCCACTTTTCAATCATGGACTTTAACTCCGAAAAGGATATTTTCCGAGGTTCCTCGAAGCTAATCATCCAGCAGGAGCTGCCTGAGAGGAGAAAGGCTCTAAGGCCACCGCCACCCCGTCCCTGTACTCCAGCATCCACTCCTCCCCATTTGCCAGTGGAACAGAGCCTGAGACCGGACCCACCCTTGGCAATGCGACCCTCTCGCCCCGCTCCCCTGCCTCCCTCGGCCCAGCAAAGAACGAATGCAGTACCCCACAAGCTCCTAACCTGTAACCGTCCTGGCTGGGAGAGCCTAGAAAAGGAGGGCCCTGAGAACATGGAGAAGACTTTGGGCCAGACTCCCCAGTGTCCCTTAGTCTTGGTGAGGATTCAGGAGATGGAACAGGACTTGGATATGTGCTGCAGGGCTCAAGAAGAGCTGAACGTAGTGCTGGAGGAGAAGCAAGAGGAATCACTAAGGGCAGAGACCCCTGAGAATCTTGAGTTCTACGAGAGTAACATTGAGAGTTTGAACATGGAACTCCAGCAACTTAGAGGTAAGTGATGAGAAGATAGTATGTACTTGTTTCTTGACACCCACAAGTCCAAGTAACAGCCTACCCAGGTTTTTAGGGATATTACCATCTACGATGGACAATTAAGGAATGGTTTGCTTTTTATTACCTAATTTCTCACTCTGTCACTACAATTAGATGTCTCTGTCTGAATGTATCCTATGACCACTGTAGCCTCCTAACTCCATTTGCTGCTCAGGTAAAAAAGCTCAGACCTCAGTGACATTTATACCTCCTATACCTCTGTGACATCCGTAGCAGTTGTGCAGATGGAAGTCCCCAGATATAACTTTCTTTAACCAGACTCTGCTCAGGACTGAAGACTTCCAGGCTAAGACTCATGAGAAAATGGTATGTTGTATCTTTGTGGTCCAGGGACTAAGTTTCAATAATAATAATAATAACAAACATTTATTAATGCATTAATAAGCATTTGTCACAAAGAATCTTCACAGCTACCTCGAAGGTACTGGGTTAATTCATATGGCTACTTTATAGATGAGGAAACCAAGACTTGCAGAGATTAAGTAGCTTGCTAAGGGAACCGGAAATTGAGCCCATGTCTTTAACTACTATGGTTTACTGTTTCCCACCTTGCACATTCAAAAATTGAAATGCTGTCTCTTAACTTGGGGGTGACCAGGCTCTGGAGACTTCATTTGTATTCACCAGCCTATCAAGAGAAATAATTTATAAAGCAGAAAGAAGAAAAGAGGGAGATAATAGCAAGTGGTCTAGGGCCTGAGGAGAGCATGACTGCATGCCCTTTGGCATGCGTGCCAGAGAGCTCTGAACCTACATGTCCTTAGGAAAGTCAATAATAAAAAGCAGTCTGTGGATCTAGGAGTTGCAGGATCCTAATAAATAAAAACAAGGTAATGGTGGCCCAGAGAGACTAAATCAAGATGGCAGACCAAGTACACATACCAACTTCCCCTTGTCCTTTAGATCTCTAAAAGTGAATGAAAAAAAAAATAATAAAAAATTCCAAGAAGAAAGAGTATTATCAGAAGGCCAGAAATCGAGTAATTTTCTGAAAGATGGAAAGCAGACGGGTTACAGAAAGAGAGGAAACCTCTGTCTAAAATATGCTCAGGCAAGAATTGCTGTGCAGGTGGGCACAGTTCTGCGGGAACTCCAAACTCAGAGGCATGGCCCCGGGAGGGTGTCCTGGAGCACATGCAGGGTGATGAATTAGGGACCAGCCAGATCACTGGGCCCCTGGGTCATTTGTGCTCAACAGGGCAGTGGTGACATTTGCTCTCTAGGTAAAGCACGAGGGTGAGCACCTAGATATGTCCTCAAGAGGGTGTTCATTTAATATGAGTATCTGAACTCTTGGGGAATGCCAGATACCTTGATGATTTCAGAGTGCCTGAAAAGGAATCCTGAGGGAACTTTGGCTCAGCGCTACATCCTCAAAGCCATAGCAAGCCCCAGATTCTCCATCACCTTCCATACATACAAGTTTTGAGATATACTTGTAAACTGTTCTTGCATTAGATATACAGGTGACAGAACAAAACTCTCCCAAATTCCAGGTACAAAAATTTCTCAATAATTATACTTATTAGAATTAGTAGTGTTCCAGAGAAATATTATGTCTTCTATGCATAAAAACAGTGTGCAGTGTTTTTAAAGGACTATATGGAGTAATGGACTGGTACTGAGGGATGAAATTGGTATTCTTTTTTATTCGATTGACCTTCTTTTTCAGGACTAATAATTCAGCTGGTGTTCTTACTATGTTTTTTGTGTTTTTTTTAACTTCTAAAAGTTTAATGCTGTGAAAGACCTGCAGTAGGTGTGTATAGTCTTAATCAGGAAACTTTTCTTTATTTGCATTCACCAAATACAGCATTGGCTGTATTAATATTGACTTGATTGCTTTTCAATAGGTGTATTATTTGTATCAATTGCTAGTATGATGAAATTACTTATTTCTTGCAATCACTGACAGTTTCTCTTAAGGTCATCTTTTTCTGTCTTCATAAAAAGTATATCCAGCAATATAAGCAGCACCTTGAAAGAGGCAGAATTAATCAGTTTGAGCACCAGGCTTTACCCCTCCAATCCAGTCCCATACAATCTCTAACCTTGAAATTTAAGGCATAAGATTTAAAGAACTTTTGGTACAGTATTTATCTAATCCTGATTGATATTATATTTAGTTGTTTATATGCCTCTCGATGAAAATTTTAAGCCTAATGAAAAGACAGATACTGTACATTAGTTGGTTTGTCATTTCCAACACACCTGGTATAGTATCCAACAGGTAGTAAACTCAGTAAATACTTGATGAATTTAGTTTAACTGAATGAAATTGAAGTTTCTGCTCTACCTTCCAGAACTTTCAAAGATCTCCTTCCTCCATTGTTACTTTGAACTTGGACTACTGGAGAGCTAAGGACTGTCGGTGCTGAAATGCTGGTCCCCTTGTCAGATACAGTTAATGGTAGCAAAATAGTCCAGTGCTGTGCCAGACCCAAAATTAGGTTCTTTATTGTAGCTATTGATCCTCCTTCCTCTTCTTTTTTTTTTTTTCTTCTTTTTTTAAATAAGAAAATGTATGGAAAAATGCCTAGCTATGCTTATCTTGTGGTAGGCATTTAATAGGGGTTTGAGAAATTAGAAGAAATATAATTAAGAAGCACTTCTAATTGCAAGACTTAAGTATAAGAAGAAAGGGTATGGCTTTATTTATTTGAACTGTAGTCAACTGAGGGCTCTGGTTTGTGCTTGGTGGTTTTAGAGCAGGATACACGTGACAGTTTGGTTTACATTCAGCTCCACCTTATGCATATAAGTGTGAATCTAGTTAGATCAACGGGGAATACATTGAATGGATTCAATTTAAGTATAGGATGGTATATAGATTTACATATAGCTCACACTTAAATATATAGAGCCTTTATACTATTCCTCGTATTGCTCCTTAAAACTCTGGAATTATGATGTCATGAGGACTTATTTCCTATAAGCTGTATTTTTTTTTCAAATCTGATATGTTACATTTTATAGTTTTCTGTTTCCTGTAGGTATCTTTCAGCTTGTTTTTTATTTTCTTTACCTATGGTAAGAATAGTTATTTTATAGTCTGGATATGATAATTCCAAGATATTGTCTTAGTGGGACTGTTTTTGGTGTCACATGGTTCTCATTCATGTGGTCTAGACTCCTTGTGTGTCTGGTTACCTTTTACTGTGTGCTAGTCATAGTATTTGGAAAACATTAAGACCGGAGATGAAGGCACCTGTCTCCAGAGAGGATTTGCACTTCTTTCTGTCAGCTGCTTCTGGTCAGCTAATGTTTCCAACTTCCTGAAGGATAGTAGTCTTTGAGATTCAGGAACAAGAAATTGGAATTCCTGAAATTATAAATTATTCTGTATTTTAAAAAAAATTCTTTTATTTACATGTTCTTAAGTAATAACAGTAATGACTGTAATAATCAACAGTGAACAATTTTCCTGTGTTAGGATTATACTAAAAGTTTCAGAGATTTTATGTATATATACACATATATATGAAATAAATGCATAATTTATTATTATGAACCAAAATATTATGAGATTATATATTTTAATGACATGTAAAATTATTCTCTACCTGATAATAAACTTTGAAATATTTTTTACTTTTTAAAAAAAAATTTATTTTATTTGTTTATTTTTGGCTGTGTTGGGTCTTCGTTGCTGCGCGAGGGCTTTCTATAGTTGCGGCGAGTGGGGGCTACTCTTCATTGCGGTGCGCAGCCTTCTCATTGCGGTGGCTTCTCTTGTTGCAGAGCACGGGCTCTAGGTGCCGCGGCCTTCAGTAGTTGTGGCTCGTGGGCTCCAGAGCGCAGGCTCAGTAGTTGTGACGCATGGGCTCAGTTGCTCTGTGGCACGTGGGATCTTCCTGGCCCAGGGCTCGAACCTGTGTCCCCTGCATTGGCAGGCGAATTCTTAACCACTGCACCACCAGGGAAGTCCCTATTTTTTACTTTTTACTTTAAAATAATTTTGGATTTATAGAGAAGTTGCAGAAATCGTAGAGTCCCCCTAACCCTAATATCTTACATAACTCAAAAATATTTATCAAAATTAGAAAATTAACATGATACTAGACATCTGATAATATAAAACATTAAAAGAAGGGAATATTAACACAAAATAAATGTTAAATAAAAATAATTTTAAAACTGTGAAATCATACCACAAATATTTAGCATTTAAAGTGATTTTTAAAACAAAATTTTAAATACACAAAGTATTAGTTGCCCTATCTGATGGGATTGATCTTTGTTTTGTGACTAATATTCCAGACATAGAAAAAAGTTTCCATTGATGTTGGTTGAGTGTTAAGAATGTATCCACAAACATCTTCAGGTGGGGCCATTAGGGTACATGTTGCTTTGCATAAGCTCATAATCTTTCTTTCTTTTTTTTTTCAGACAGGTTTTCATTTTTAATTTTCTAGCAACTATTTGCATTGAATATTTCTTTTTTTTTAATTTTAATGAAGTATAGGTGATTTACAATGTTGTGTTAATTTCTGCCATACAGCAAAATGATTCAGTTATACATGTGTTCTTATATTCTTTTGTTTTTCTTTTTCTTTTTTTTGCGGTATGCGGGCCTCTCACCGCTGCGGCCTCTCCCGTCGCAGAGCACAGGCTCCGGACGCGCAGGCCCAGCAGCCGTGGCCCATGGGCCCAGCCGCTCCGCGGCACATGGGATCCTCCCGGACCGGGACACGAACCCGCGTCCCCTGCATCAGCAGGCGGACTCTCAACCACTGCGCCACCAGGGAAGCCCCTTATATTCTTTCTTAACAGTGAAAATATTTTGTCTACTTGCTCTGATTTTGACTTTGCCATTGGAATCAATATTGTTTTGCTAATTCAAATTTTAGACGATAAATTTGTGACAATATTCACATCTTTAAAAAATTTTTTAATTGAAATAATTAACATACAATATGATGTTAATTTCAGGTAAT